TGATTAATTTTATCAAAAGCTTTAGCAAAATCTGTGTAAACAACATCTACATTTGATTTATCTGACATAGCGTCTGAAACAAAAGTATGAATGTTAAGCAGATTAGTAATCGTACTCTTGTTACGAGTGAAGCCATGTTGATCATCAACAATAATATTATTTAAAGTGGGTAATATTTTATTTGCTATAATAGATTCCAATATTTTTGGTATAAGGGAAAGTAAAGATATTGGTCTATAGTTAGAGATATTTAAAATATCAGTAGAGGTCTTAGGAATAGGTCGAATGAGGCTAGTTTTCCATGCGTCGGGGAAAGTGCCAGATGACAGTGATAAATTAAAGATAAGAAATAGAGGTAGCAAAATAGCATACTTACAATTTCTTAAAAATACACTTGGAATTAAATCAGGACCAGGACTGCAGTTAGAATTTAATGAGCTAAGAAACTGAAATATATCAATTAATTCAATTGATATAGAGTGCATAGAAGAAGAAAGAACTTTAGGCGGTACATTATAATTGTAATTTACATTAAAATTATTGTAGTCTTCGTAAACACTGGAGAAATAATTAACAAAAGCTTTAACAATGTTATTAGGAGTAATAAATTCTTCATTGAATAAATGTAAACTATTCGGCAGAAAATTATTATTACGTTTGTTATAAATAAATTTCCAGAGTTGATTAGGATGAGTTTTTAAATTATTTTTAATTTTTTAAGTAATTTTGATAATCAAATTTTGAAAAATATTTACATTTTGCACGAAGATTAGAAAATTTATTATAATCACTCACCAAACCCGAACTCTTAAAAATTTTATGGGCTATATTTTTCTTAAAAATTAATTCTTTTAAATTTCTACTAAATCATGGAGGATGAGTAGAATGTTTTTTAATTATTTTAGGTACAAAAATCTCAAAAATTTCATAAATATTAGAGTAAAACGAATGACAGCTTAATTTACACATAGGTCTTTAAATAGGTTATTCCAGTCGATCGATGATAAAGTAAAATTTATTTCCGCGTAGTACAATAAAAAAAATTATAAATACAAAAATTATAATCAATCGGTTTATTTACAACTATGGGAAAAGAAATGAGTAAGCCAGGATGATAAGCATCACACGGAACAAGAGGATTATCAAATTTTTTAACAGACACATTATGTAAATCAGAAAAAACTAAATCCAAAATTGATCTAGTTTTATTATAAATATTGTTGTATTGAAAAAGGTTTAAAAAAGATAATTTAGATAGAATTTCAGAGTAATGGTTACTTAAGTTTTCTAGACTAGGAATAAATCCATTGGATGTATGAAGCCATATATAATCAGGAAGATTGTAATCACCAACCATAATTAAATTTTTAACATATGAAAACGTCAATAATAAATTATTAATAATATCGAAATAAATATTATAAATTGAAATATCTGATAGAAGAGGAAAATAAACATTACCAATAATTATATAATTAAGATTAATTTTAGTTATGACAAATATGTGTTCGAATAGACTGGCCGGTACAGGTAATACGCGACAATGGAACTTATTATTAACCGAAAACAAAACACTTACACCTCTGGAATGATTACTTGTGTTTTGGTTACGGTCACAGCGATAGGTAGTATAATTGGAGAGACCCCATTCCGATGTATTGACGTTTGTAGATAACCATGTTTCACATAGACTGATAACATCGTCCTCAGATAAACAAACATTTCGCATTAAAATATTTAATTTGGTGTTAAGGCCATGTGCTTTTGATAGTAAAATTTTAAGTTTCTATGGGCTGGCTCTCTTACTAGTTTTTTGAAATGGTTGGAATACCTTCAACAAACTTAAATATTAAATCTGATTCCCCAGCTGTTTTACGTTCCTTGAGTTTAGATAAAACATCACGAAGATCATTTTGTTGCATTAAGGTGTGATCCGGAGATATACGAATAGATCCATATACTGGAGAAGTACGCAGTTTATGTTTATTCTTAAGTACAACAAATATATCAGATGGTTCCCGAAAAATAACTTTTATTGTGCGTGGTTTACCCGATTTTTTGTCCTAATCTAGATAATACAGTAGTATTCATGTTAGGAGATATACTATCCAAAACAGTTTTTATCAATAATGTATCGTTTTATGAAGAGGTCGTTGCATCATATTCCGGGACATTAAATAAAATTAAGTTACGAGATCTTGATCGTCTATCAATTACTTCAGATACTAGTGTTAATATGTTAATTTATCAATTGTTAAATGTGTTATCTCAATATAATAATTATGTAATGTATAATTAAATACAATAAACTAAAAAGATCACTAAAATCGCTGACAACAATATCCCTGGATTGGGGGTATTATCATTTTACTATAAAAAGCGCTGAAATCCTTTCAGAGTCAGAAGAAGGAGTGAAACAGAGAGAGAGTTTGCTTTCTCTGAATTGAATTAAGAATAAAAAGAAATAATTATCAGTCACAGCCCTGTGTTGTTGTCGGCTGACTTTTACGCGTTTTATTTATATATGAAAAGAACTTGTTTTAATTAATTATCTTTTGACGAAGTGCGAATTAAATACTTTTAAACATATATAAACATATTGAGATATTTATCAAATCATTTTACAAGCAATTTGCAAGAATAAGAGAAGTAAATAATTTTATGTCATCTCAATTATTTGGAGTATATAAGTTTGAGTAAAGGATGACAAAGCAATAGATCATTTATTAAATTAATATTTTAGAGTGTCAATTTTGACTGGTTGGTTAAAGAAATTATACATAATTACGTTATATGGTATTCGTGAACTGGCTCTGCCGTTTCGTTGCCTTAAAGATGTTTAAAAAAACTTAGCGTGATTTCTACTGTATAAATTAGGCTTTGGAATTCGTGGACTGGCTCTGCCGTCTCGTTGCCTAGCAAACCCCCATTTTCTTTTTATATTTCTTTTTATTCACTTTCTAATTTTTATAACTCTACTATTCTACTCTTTTTCTTTTCTTTCTTTTTATTTTTGGTTTATTACAATATCGAAATACTTATCAAATCACCTTACAGCAATTTGCAAGAAAAAAAGAAGTAAGTAATATTATGTTATCCCAATTATTTGGAGTAAATAAGTTTGAGTAAAGGATGACAAATCAATAAATAATTTATTAAATTAATATCTTAAAGTGTCAATTTTGACTGGTTGGTTAAAGAAATTATACATAATCACGTTATATGATATTCGTGGACTGGCTCTGCCGTCTCGTTGCCGAGGTATTCGTGAACTAGCCTCGCCGTTTCGTTGCATCTTAGTTAGGACATTAGAAACTAACCAGACAAAAGTTTATTACACCTCGAATAGAGGTTCTGCGTTTATAATTTTTATATCTACTTCTCTTTGTTGTTCTAAACCCTCGAACCATACGACCCCGATAGAACCACAACACCAGGTTCTCACTAAACCTAAAACACCGTGACCTTTCCATTCTTTAATTTTAATTTTATTAATTTTTGTTATTTAAATTATAACAACTGTCTGTCGTTCCGATACCTTTGTGCATATTATTAGGTACCAACCAGGCTATACTTTATTACACTTCAGCAAAGAGGTATTGTATTTATTATTTTAGCTTCGATGCGAAGCTGAGAAGGTATTGGTTTTACTAAGATGAGATTTTTTTTTTTTTTTTGTGACTGTTACCACTATTTCTCAGCTCTCACTGGATCGATTTCTTTCAACGATACGTCAAAAGATCACAAATCATATCTAGTCGAAGACATTACCCTCAAAAATTGAAAAAATTTCCCTCGTTTCCCGTAAATGGGGGAAACCTTCAAAAATATTACAAATTTAAAAATCGCTAATTTTCGAAATTTTTAAAATTTTTTTGACTTAAAAGTGCCATAACTTTTCAAAAATGAACATATCAATATAATTTTTTTTTTTATAGATGCTTGATGTCTTTATCTATTATTTGGTGTATATTTTTTGTAAATTTGACACTTAACCTACCCACAAAGGGGGATTTAAAATGACAACTTTTTTACAAAAAATTAACTTTTTCAACTTAACTTTTGAAAATGTTCCGGAAAGTCTGACACTTTTATATATATCTTAAATTAAAGCTAATGTAATATGCTTTAATTTGAAAAAAAAAAATTTGACATCTGGACTTGTCTTCACGGCAAAAATGGCTAACAAATGCTATTTTTGTGTGAAATTTCTCGATTTTATGTTTTACATTTTTTACTTTAAAGTGCTATAACTTATTGAAAAGTGTATGGATCAACATTATTTTTTTATGAGAAATAATATTTTTTAACAATCCCTTTTTTATTCGACATACTTTATCTTAATCAAGATATTATTAAGGAACTAGCAGAAAATGTAGCTTTTCGAATAATACACCAATTTTTAAAATTAAACACTATCTAAAGATTTGCATCCAAGCGTTTTTTTTTATAGCGATATTAATCACTGTCGGATATCATAATACTTGATCCAACTATGCCACGTCACCACTGTGTCGCGACTCCCCTGTGCTGGGTATTTTATATCTACTTGTCTTCGTTGTTTTAAACTCTCGGACCGCACAACCCCGATCAAACCCATATATGTTATAATCACAACCATTTATATATTTGTATTTTGTTATTTTAATTATAACTAAAAAAAAAAAAAATAATAGAAACCCGCTCATATTTTTACTATTTTTATATGACAACGATATTACGATATATGTTTAAAATTAAAGTGTGAGCTACATTTTAATTATAGAATCACTAACTATTTTCATGAGATATTGATCCTCGGATAAAACTATAGCAAATTTTTTTTATTCTAAAAATATGAATTAAATTTGATGCGTTGTACAAAAATGTTATATCTATTTAAGATAAGATAAAAAATAATCTACATCTTAATAAACATTTATATATTCCTCAGAATAAATTTTCTAATTAGAAAAAACTTAACAATTTACTTAATTAAAAATTAAATAATATTGTTTTACCTGTTCAAATGGTGGGTCAGCGAAAATAAATGCGTTTGATAAACTACTAACTTGATACATCATAATAAAAAAGTAGAAATGCATTATTGGTTTGATAAATTAACGTTTTCAAATAAAACTGATCAGTAAAACTGCTGAAATGATAGATGTATTGAAATTCAATTAATTTTATAACAATACTATTCTGTTTTAGTGTTAAACAAACGTCATTTTTAAGTATTTTTAAAATAGCAATAAACTCATATAATAAATTTAATTTTTTTTTGATATATAACAATTCTTATTTTAAACGAAATAAAAATTTTATTTATTGAAAAAGGTGCAGTAAATAATTTTTATATAATTATTTTATTGCCATACTTATACTTAAAAACTAGTAAAAACTGGTTTTCTTTTGTTTCATTTGTCATTGATAAATTGAAATTTTAGTCTATAAATTAATAAGCTTTGACGTTTTGCAGTTGATTTTTAAAATTGTTACTACAGTTTTCAATAAATAATTATATTAAATTTTCTATTTAACTTAAAAAGTAGGAAAAACATTTTTTTTGGTGTTTATTAATTTACGAAACCACACGTATTTTGCACATTTGTTCAACTATTCTGCTGAACTATAAATATAGATGTAAATCATTTATTTTGTTTATTTTATTGGTCATGTTTCTTATTTACCTGTCTGCTGTATTAATATTTACATGATTTGCAATATATGTTGCAATATATATTTGCAACACACAATATGAGAAAATAGTCAACACTCCTAGTATTTGAAACATTTTTTGACACATTTACCTAATATTAAATTTATAATATATACAATATTAAAATTAAATTACCTCTGGACTTGTGGTTATAATGTACATCAGAGTTAAATTTAAAGAAATTTAATAAATTGTTACACTTATAAATCAATGAAAATCAATCAGGTTATAATTAAGGAAATAGGAGTTAGTAGTGTATAAATGTTCCTTCTAAAACACCTGATCACATGATCACCTGATCGCCTGATCGCCTGATCACATGATCGAGTGTTTTTGTATTTTTTTTAAATGAAAGTTGTCTTTATGCAATAGCAGTTTCCCTTTACGTCTATGTGTACATAGTTGCTTGCATGATATTAGATCACTTGTACGTCAACTAATTCCTTATCACATGATCGAGTGTTTTGGTATTTCTTTCAATAAAAGTTGTCTTTATACGACATCAGTTCCACTTTACGTTTTTACCTTTAAACGTCATTAGTTCACATATGCGACATTAGTTCACTTGTACGTCACTACGTCACTTGTTTTGATAAATTTTTGTGAGTATGGTTAGAGGCGGTACTTCGTATATTGGGGTGGTGTCCCATCACGTGTGAACCTGTTTATACATGTGATAGAGAATATATTTTTGTTCGCCATTGCGGGTCATGTTTCGAGGGCGGTTTTACACGATCCTATGATACGATTTCACCTGGTACCATATTGTTATGTTTACGATGAATGCAGGTGCATAATATGCCGTATATGTATATTAAAAATTCACTCACCACGCTTTGTATAACTCGAGGAGATATTTAATTCCATAAAAATACAAATTTTATAGTCAAAAATCTTTCTATATTATTGTTGTCAATATAGAATTTGTAGAATTATTAGATTTTCAAAATAGTATCTTATATTTTAATATTAACAAAAATTATTTTTAAATATTTTTTTCACATCATAGCATCTTTTTTAATTTTTATAATATGTTGTCATTATTTTAATATCCTGGAAACATTTTGACATTGTTTATAAATGTAATAATAAATAAATAAATCATTTTTTTTTTATTAACACAACTGTTTTATTATTATTATTATTATTATTATTCAAGTAAAATTAAAATATATTTCATAATAAGTAATTAGTATGTGACACGAAAATAGATGTATAATAACAATTAATTTTTTTTTTGTACTGACACGGCCACGGCGTTGTCACACGTTGACACCCCGCGGTCGTGTCAGCTCCTTCTCAGCCACCGCTTAACTGTAAACCGGACCGTCACACACACGCGTTATCGTCGTGGTGTAAAGTCCAACAAATGCCTAGCGTCGTATACCCCGCCGCAATAATACGTCGAGTCAGTCTTCTTCGGGACACCTTTGACACTGTGATACGCTGTCCACCGGATCAACCAGAAAACGCCACCGTGTTTCGATTAACTTTTATTGTCTTTTGTCAACGGTTATTTCACAGTAATACTAGTGTTATTATTTATCATTTGTTCGCATATTATTTTTGTGTCGCAACTCTCTTTTCACTTCTTTTATTAAACGGCTCGACGCCAAGTAAAACTTCATCCGTTGTTACTTCATTCATCATCATCTTTTCCTTAACAGTACTAAAATTTCTAAATTTAAATAGATATGTATAAATAAATTATTAATTATCTAAAGCTCCAATTAGCCTGTGAAACAGGCGACAACTTGCGTTTGGGTGATGGCGAGCGTGGACTTATTTGAAAATGATTTTTAAAATTTTCATAAGGAACCGGAGAACTTCTATAATCATACATATACGGTCCATCGTTTTCATCATAATCCTATAAAAGCAATATATTTCATTAATAATAAATATTTTATACAATACTAATTAACTTTTTTTTCTTACCTTATTTTCATTGTGTTTTTTGTAAACTTCATTCGCTAGATAATTACTAGCATGCATTTTAATTTGAAGAGTAAAGTCTGGTTCATTGTTATTTGAATTTGTATAGTTGGAAAATGTTTCTTGTTTACGAATAAATTTTTTCACGGAATCTTGATTTGATATGTCCATTTTTTGTTTTAGTAAATAATTTACCATTTTCTCCATTTGTGATTGAATTGATATTTTAGAATATGTCGACTTTTGAACAATAGTTTCATGAATAATGAATTCTAGTTCTTGTAGCTTTAATGTGTTTTTACTAGTTAAAATAATTCTACAATCTTTATTAAATCTTGATTGTAATATCAGTACGTTTTCGGATTTGTAAAACGCTTTTGAAATGATTACTTCATCATCGTCGTTAATAATTACCGACTCTGCTCGAATGGGCTTGTTGTCCAACACATTATTCAACAACTGTTCCATGTATCCAAATAATCGTCTTAAAAAGCCTTCATTTACGCTTAAATGCCGCCATGGCGTAATAATATGAATTTTAATTTGTAGAGTATTTGAATCAAAGCCGATTTGTATAAACTTACGTTCTTTGAAATCGATGTTAAAAGAGCTGACATCTATTAAATCGTCTGGTGGTGTAGGTGGTACGTATTTGTATTTCATCTGTCTGTATGCTGCTGCTTGTTCTTTTTCTTCTCCATATGACATTATAGATGTATTTTTGGACTGGCGGGTTCAGAAGAAGTTCTATTCAATATGATTGCCTGAACTGCAACGCGTAGTAGCTTGAAAACACTGTTAAATGTTTGGGTATTTTACATGTTTTATATCGCGTAAACACGTTTAAGAAAATATAAACCAATGAAAAACGAGTTATAATTTAAATAGAGGGGGTATTTTGAAAAATACCAAAACACTCGATCATGTGATCAGGCGATCAGGCGATCAGGAATCATGTCATGAGGAATTAGTTGACGTACAAGTGATCTAATATCATGCAAGCAACTATGTACACATAGACGTAAAGGGAAACTGCTGTCGTATAAAGACAACTTTCATTGAAAAAAATACCAAAACACTCGATCATGTGATCAGGCGATCAGGCGATCAGGTGATCAGGTGTTTTAGAAGGAACATTTATACACCCAACAGGGTGATTGAAATCTGGTAAGACACTCATTTTCTCAGAAAATATTGAGAATTTTAATTTTATTATAGAGAAAAAATATAAAGTTTAAAATACTCTACAATAATATGTAGTCAAACCATAATTTTTTCATTCCTTGAAGGATAAAAACCCTTATTTATAATTTTATTTTCTGTTGCATTAACCGCATTTTATTGATCAAATTATGACAGGTAAATTAGCTATAAAAATTTACTACGCACTAAATGAGTGATAACAATAATAAATTCAAATCGGGTTTTCGGTGTATTATTAATAGCGAAGTGTTGTATTTAAATATATGGAACAATCTTTTCGTTCTAACTTATAGTTATAGTAGTTCAATAATAACGCAAAATGTAGTTGATAAAGATATAATCAATCAAAATAAAACATATAAAATATTGATACACTTAAAACAGAATAAATAAATAATACACAAAATGAAAACTTAAAGTCACAAACGTACCACGCGAAAAGAGAATACCTTCGGTACTCCCGAGATCTTCTCTCTCTCCTCCTTTCAATTCATTCCATTTCATCTTATATACTAAAATATTTTGTTTTTCTTTTTATAAAATTCAAATCTAAACATTACATAAGGGTTCTACTTCTAGGTTTACAAATAAAAGAATATATTATATTTTTGTAATAATAGATCAAGAAATTCATAGTTAAACCAAACATTACAAAAATGCTTTGTTTTCAGTTGTAAATAATGACCTATATTACAGAAGTCTATAGTTTTGTAAGACTAAAGAATCTAATAAAAATACTGGTTGCACTGCCACCAATATTATGAAACGTAATAAATGACAATTTTCAAAATTTTTAAACAATTATAAAACGTAAATGGTTGTTTGGATAAAAAAAATTATAAGAACAAAATTGTTTATAATTTTTAGCTTCGATGCGAAGCTAAGAAGGTATTAATTTTTACTATGATGTGTTTTAGCTTCGATGCGAAGCGGAGAAGGTATTAATTTTACTGTAATGTGTTTTTTTTTTTTTTTTTTATGTCTGTTGCGACTTTTTCTCAGCTCTCACTGGACCGATTTCTTTCAAAAATACGTCAAATGATCACAAATCGTATCTAATTGAAGACATTACCCTTAAAAATTGAAAAAAAATTCCCTCGTTCCCCGCAAATGCAGGAAATATCCAAAAAAATTATAAATTTAAAAATCGCTAGTTTTCGAAATTTTTTCAATTTTTTTTCTTAAAACTTCCATAACTTATTCAAATAATAATAATTCAAAATAATATTTTTTTATATTGAAACCTTAGGTAATTTCCTTTCATTTGATATAATTTTTTTTGAAAATATATCACTTATTCTGCTCACTGGGGGGATTTAAAATAGTAACTTGACACGGCCCGTAATAGCGCACTATTCATTTACCGTGAATTAGCACGTTATCCAGTCAAATGATTCATTTAAGTTTATGATATTTAAGTTAATGATTAGTTTAAGTTATTACTCTAAAAAATCAAAAAAATATTCCTTATTCAAATAAAAAGTAGCTTAACTAGCTTTTTCCATACACACAATTAAAATCATTAATTTCTAATATTCTTAAAGTATTTATTGTCGAATTAGATTTGATATGATAAAAGTATTCAACTAGAAAAGTAAATCATTTTACTTTGTAATTTATTAATTTTTAACTCCATTTGTGTGTGCTACTACCAGTCTATAATTTTTTTTGTAATATTTTACTATATAAATCATAAATTAAAAAAAAAAATGATTTTTAGTTTCACCTGAATTTAACGATGGATTTTTACAATTATAATCAAATTTTGTATTACACTCAATTGAGTAAATCATTTTAACAACTTTTTTTTTTTTTTAGATATATAATCATTAAAATTCATCAAATTCTAAATATATCCATCGTAGAATCTTTTTAAACACCAAAAGTTAATTAGAGATGATTACTATTATTTCTATTTCAGTTATCTATTAGGATAAAAATGCAAAAAAATCGAATTTTTCTAAAAAATGTACTGTAAATAGTAATTATAATATTTCCTGATTGCATATTAATCTTAACAAATTCATTTTTTTTTTAATTAAACCTTTCACTTTATAAGACAAAAACAAAGTAGGTTCAAAATGATTACCTTTAACATATTAAAAATCAAAATCAGTATTAATTTAATACAATTTTTTTTGTTCTTAATTATTTTTTTTTATATGTAAATACTTATTTTTTAATAATAAGTAATAATATTAAAACTTAGAAGTAATAGAAAAAGTTTAATTGCACAATTGAAAACATCGCGAAAAGTATTTTTTTTTCTGATGAAAGTTCCTTCGTTTAGTGTATTTATTCATAAGTAAAAAAATTTTTTTATTAAAAAGTATTGCATCAATTCCTATAAATTTGTATACGCATTAAAAGTATATGAATATACAACTCCTTTTTATTTTTATAATATCTCCGTAAAAATTACAATATTATATTATTGAATACCACTTTCATACTCAATTTAATTACTGTAATTATTATGTATTCATATATTATAATTATAAATCGGGGTAAAATTAATGGAATAAGTGTTATTGTTCTTTTTGAAATAATCTACCAATTTCATTTTTTTCTATTTAATAATATCAATTTCAAACTTGCAAGTTGAGGTAAAAGTTATGGTAATAAATTCATTTTTTTTTATTAAAACTTTCACTTTAAAGGACAAAAAGAAGTAGGTTCAAAATGATTACTTTTAACATACTAAAAATCGATAATAATTTTATAATAATTAATTATAAAAATTATATAATAGATAATTAAACGAATTACTAATCTGGATATAATTATGGAAATAGGAGTTGATGTTAGGTTGGGTTGGTTACATTTTAAACTTTATAATGGTATAACTTATTGAAAAGTGTATGAATCAACCCAATTTTTTTATGAGAAATAATATTTTTTAATAATCCCTTTTTCATTCGACATATTTTATTTTAATCAGGGTATAAATAAGGAACTAGCAGATCATGTAGCTTTTGTAATTATCCACCAATTTCTTAGAATTAAACACTATCTATAGATTTGAATCGAAGCGTTTCTTATGATAGTGATTTTTATCACTGTCAGATTAAATCTATACTGGATTCAACTATGCAACGTCCCCACTATGCCGCGACCCCACTGTGCTAGGTTTTTTTTTTTTTTTATGTCTGTTGCCACTTTTTCTCAGCTCTTACTGGACTGATATTGAGGAACAATATGTCAAAAGATCACTAATCGTATCTAGCTGAAGACATTACCCTTAAAAATTTTAAAAATTTTCCTCGTTTCCCGTAAATGGCGGAAATCTCCAAAAAAATTACCATTTTTAAAATCGGTAAATTTCGTCATTTTTTTCACTTTTTTTTCTTAAAACTATAATAATATATTTAAAAATTAACCTATTTTTTTATATTATAACCTTAGACTTCTATCTTTCATTTGATATAATTTTTTTGAAAATCTAACACTTAACCTGCAGTTTTGGGGGGACACACCTTTCTCGGTTATGTCTATCTAGTAAAGCGAATCGTTGCCGTTGTACATCATATATTATATGTTTTGATATTTTATATTTTATACTATTATATTACGATTAATTTCTAAATCTTTTAATTACATAACCTATTTAATTCAATAGGTTATAGCCCCGATACCCAGTATTTAGTTTTTTTGTAGATAGTGCACAGGAAATTCGTTATCATGAAAACCGAATCTATAAAAATTAACAAACTAAATGGCAATGAAAAATGGGAAAAATGGAAATTTCAAATGACGTTAATACTAAAATTATAAAATGTGTTGTATTCCGTAATTTTTTTTTCGTCAACAGCCATTCCGATGGTTTAAAGCAAATTTCCATTCATCTAGATTCTCCGCTTTCATTTTCAGATCATAATATGATGTTGCATTTACATCTTTTTGAATTTATTTAATGCATTCTAGGGGTGGCCTGCCTCTTGTGTTTTATTCCTCTATCATGCCTTTTATCACTCTTGTCATTAGCCCATTGTGTCTTAAAGAATGTCCTATGAATTTCAGTTTTCTCTTTTTTAAATGTCCTAAAAAACTTTTTTTTTTCTCCAATCCTTCTGAATACTTTGTCATTTGTTACGTGATCCATCCAACTTATCTTCAATACCCTTCGCCAGCACCAAGTCTCCAAAGCTAGCAAACTGTTTTCTTCCTTCTTTTCTATTGTCCATGTTTCGCTTCCATATAGTCCAACACTCCATATATAGGTTTTGACAAGCCTTCTTTTTATATTTATATCTATGTTTCTTGATGTAAACAAACTTTTCTTTTTATTAAATGCTTGTATAGCTTGAGCTATTTTACCTTTTAATTTACTCGTTCAAGTATTTCCCCATCAATTTCAATCTCGTTTGTTTTGATGTGTTCTGTGTTCCGACTGCAGACTAGAATCTTTGTTTTCTTTTTGTTTATTCTCATATTATATTTGTTACTCATTATCGGATTCATGTTATCTAATATTACTTACAGGTCTGTTTCATTTTCGGTTTTAATGGCAATGTCGTCTACAAACCAAGTCCACAAATGATATATAAGTAGCTTTTCCTTTTCTGTTCCTTTTTTATATTACTTGTCTTAGACTTAGTATTGCCTGTCTCGTTCCCATTCTCCTCCTAAATCCGAACTGGTCATCTGTCAAAGTATTTTCAATCTTTCTCTCTATCAGAACTATCCGTGTAAGAATTTTAGAAGCAGGAGGTACAAAGCTTAAGGTTCTATACTGATCACAACTTTGTGGTCTGGCTTTTTTTGGAATCGGAATTATAAGACACTTGGTGAAATCATCAGGTATCTCTCCATGGTCATACATTTTGCAAGTCATTTGATAGAGCATGGACTTTGTTTTTTCTCCACAATTTTTGAGTAATTCGGCTTGTTTATCATCAATACCA